TAACAAAGTACTTAATCCCTCAAAACCAATGGGGTCTGCTTCTCACTCCTGTCACAGGCTGGGAAGGATACTGCTGTTTGGCAGGCACTCTTCTCTGCATGGTAACTTGGGCTCCAAGCTCTTTCTGTCCTGTGTTCTACCCCAGCTCACAGCCTCACCACTGCCTGGACCATTGCAAGTGCAACTTGCTGCTTAAAGTCTGGGCCCATAGATGGCACACAGCCTTCTTCTGGCATTCCATGGAGCAGATTCAAGTGCTAATACTACACCCAATCCGAAAAAGCCTAGAACAGGAAGCCAAGTTATCTGCCCAGTGCGAGAACAAAAGGATGGTAGCTGAAGGCTAACTACTTTTGCCACAGGCAAGCCCCGGGCCTCTAGACTCTACTTACAAACTGGTCACCATGAAGCACAAGCAGTGCCCATCAGGAGGGACTATAATTACGGATACCTACGAAGTACTTGAGTTCCATGGAAAGCAGTGTGCCCTGTGAGTGCACTGCTACATGTAGGGCACTGCTGTGCTGCTGCTATTTGAAACACCACACTGCATTCAGTAACAGGAAGGTGGGGCAGCATGGTGGCACAGTACGTCAAACCACTCTTGTGACACCAGCAAACCATATCAGAATACTAGTTAGAGTCCTGGCTGCTCCATTTCTGATCCAACTCCCGACTAATACTCCTGGGCAGGTAGCAAAAGATGGCCCAGGTACTTGGGGCCCTGTTATGCATGCAGGAGACTGAGATGCAATTCTTGGCTCCTGACTTTGGCCTAGATCAGCCCTGGCAGTTATAGGCACTTAGAAAGTGAACCAGTGGATGAAAGATTTCTCTCTGACTCTCCACATCTCTTATTCTTAATCACTCTGCCTTTCAAACAAATATTTTATATATTGTGATATATAAAAAGAACATATATATTTTTGAGCTATATTTAAAAACAATATTTGCTTCAGGAGGCATAGAGCCTAAGAATAAAAATATACTAATACAAGTAAATCAGGCACTATTATTTGTCTGTTACCTACGACAAACACTTTTTCAGAAGCAGGATTGAAACCACTACCCCTTCTCCCAAATCTATGCGATAAACACAGTACAATAAGTTTCTTTTCTAAAGACCTATTGCATTTAGGCCCAGCCTGGTGGCCTAGTGGCTAAACTCCTCATCTTAAATGCACCAGGATCCTGTGTGGGCGCTGGTCCTAATCCCAGCAGCTCCTCTTCCCATCCAGTTCCCTGCTTGTGGCCTGGGAAAGCAGTCCAGGACAGCCCAAGGCCTTGGGACTGTGCACCCGTGTGGGAGACCTAGAGGAGGCTCCTGGCTTCTGGCTTCGGATTGGTGCAGCACCAGCCATTGTGGTCATTTGGGGAGTGAATTATCGGAGAGAAGATCTTCCTTTCTGTCTCTCCTCCTCTCTGTATATCTGACTTTGCAATTAAAATAAATAAATCTTTTTTAAAAAGCAATAAGCTAAAATAAAAAAGATCTATTTCTTTTTATTTGAAAGTTGGGGCTAGAGAGATCTTTCACATACTGGCTCACTCCCCAGATGGCCTTAACAGCCAAGGTAGGCTAGAACAAAGCCAGAAGCCGAGTCTCCCACAGATGGCAAGGTCCCAAACATTTGGACCATCTTCTGATGCTTTTCCCAGTCCATTAGTAGAGAGTTAATTCAGAAATAGAACAGTTGGAACATGAACTGGTGCCTATATGGTATGCCAGCATGGCAGGAAGCAGCTTTACTTGTCATTCCACAACACTGGTCCCATCACATTTTTGTTAATTCAAGAAATACATTATCAAGCTTCACCTCTGTGCCAGGTTCTGGATGCAATGGTCAAGAACACAGATACGGCTCACAACTGAACTGACAAGACAGACAAAGATAATTAAATCACTGGGGCCAGTGCTGTGCCTACAATAGCTAACCCTCCACCTTCAAGCGCCAGGATCCTATACGGTTCCCATTCATGTCCCAGCTGTTCCACTTCTCCAGCTCCCTATTTATGGCCTGGGAAAGCAGCAGGGGAAGGTCCAAAGCTTTGGAACTCTGCACCCATGTGGGAGACTTGGAGGAAGTTCCTGCCTCCTGGCTTTCAACAGTTTCAGCTGTTGTGACTATTTAGGGAAATGAATCTGTGGATGGAAAACCTTTCCTTCTATGTCTCTCCTTCTCTCTGTAAACCTCTTTCAAATAATAAATAAATAAATAAATAAATCTTAAAAAGAAAAAGAAAATTATTGCAACTTGCAGGTGCTACAACGAAAGTATGGAATTGAGTCCTAAGGATATCTGAAGGCCAGCAGAGGAAACCATGTTACAAAAAAGGGAACAGCAAACACAGAAGGCCTGAGGTAAGACTCAGCGGTCATGTTACAGTTCGCAGGAGGTTTGGAAGCAACCTACTGCTCTGGGTCCTAGCAGACCAGACCAAGCCAGAATGGAGTCACTTGTGATATAATCAATCTCTGAACCCAGCTGGTTTACCAGAAACAGGAGACTGACAGCAATCAACCAGAAGAGGTCTCATTTATCCAAGTCAGCATAAGAAAGGAATCCCTGGGGCTGGAACTGTGGCCAGCATTCCATATGGATGCCAGTTCAAGTCCCAGCTTCTCCACTTACAATTCACATTAGTGCCTGGGAAAGCAGCCAAAGATGGCCCAGCTGCTTGACTCCTGCATACCTGTGCAAGACCCAGATGACACTCCCGGCTCCTGGCTTTGGTCTGACTCATTCCTAGCTATTGTAGCCATTCTGGAGTATTCCAACAGATGGAAGATTGTTCTCTTTCTTTCTCTCTCTCTCTCAACATCTCTCTCTCCCTCCGTTTTGTACTTCTGTCTTTCAAATAAATAAAATAAGTTTTAAAAGGGCATCCCTCTGTTGTACCCCTATAAGGAATGAAACTCTGAAACCACCAATTGTGTTCTGTTCCCTGTTTTTACCTATCAAGGCCAACCTCTTTCATTTGGCCCATCAGAATTCATTGTATTTTGTTGGAATATGTTGCCTGAGTAGAGAATCACAAATAAAAGCCAAACCTATCTTTAAAAATGAGTTTCAATTCTAAAATACTTACACTGTCTGTAAGTTAAGAGTTGTATAGGGGCCCGGCGCAGTGGCGCAGTGGCGCAGTGGCGCAGTGGTGCAGTGGTGCAGTGGCGCAGTGGCGCAGTGGTTAAGGTCCTCACCTTGCATGCCCGGGATCCCATATGGGTGCCGGTTCTAATCTTGGCAGCCCCCCTTCCCATCCAGCTCCCTGCCTGTGGCCCGGGAAAGCAGTCAAGGACAGCCTAAAGCTTTGGGACCCTACACCCGTGTGGGAGACCTAGAAGAGGCTCTTGGCTTCGAATTGGCTCAGCTCCAGCCGTTGTGGCCGCCTGGGCAGTGAATCATCAGACAGAAGATCTTGCTCTCTGTCTCTCCTCTCTGTATATCCGCCTTTCCATAAAAATAAAAATAAATCTTAAAAAAAAAAAAAGAGTTGTGTAGGGCACAAGAGCCCATGTTAACAAGTCTGGAGCATGCAAACACACACTGCAATTTTCTATTCTAAATACAAACACCTTTCCCCCACCTTCCCAAAGAAAACTTGCTTCATGAGTCTAGATTTGTTCAATAATAATAAAAAAAAAAAAAGGTCAGTTAAAAGGAACAGCCGACTAATAACTCTAAATTCATTTTCAGGTATGCTTTTTGCATTTTGTATCTAGTGAATATGTAGCTATTTAAAATACATATCTATAGGGTACAGATTTCTTTTTTTGTAATAAATGAAAGGCAGACAGATGGAAATAAATCTCCTGTCTTCCAGTCACAGGGAGGAGGCAGGACAATCCTGGTGTGGAGAAAAGACTCCCAGGGTCGGCAGAGGGGGCAGGGGTCCCTGGATCCACACACCAGACCCCGGCTGACTGATGGGCGTGACACTTGGAACCAAAGCTGCATTCTCCCCCGAGGCCTCAGGTGAAACATCCCACCAAAGAGGGTGTGCTCCCTGTGAAATGAGCCAGAGCCCTTACCTTTCTTCCCTGAAGAACTCCTGCCCATCCCTGGAGCCCCCAAACGTCACCTCCTGCAGGAAGCCTTCTCAGAGCGAGCAGAGCCTGGCCAGAGTGAGCAGCTCTATCCTTTGGGTTTCAAAAAGCAACATCTCTAGCATTATCCCTGTTTCCTGAGCAGATCCTCTCTCTCCCAGAACCAAGAAAATACCTTAACCTTGGAAGCTCCTGAGGGGTCCCTCTTCCACAAGGAGGAAAAGGACCAGAGTCACAGAGAAAGCTAGGTTCTTACCTGTATTTCTACAGGATATCAACACAGTTCTACAAAGAACCAAAGATTTTTCTTCCTACTAAGGAAAGACGGTGGGATGTAAAATCACAAACAAATACGTAGTGTTACCTTGCTGAGGGGGAAAAAAATTCCCTTCAAAAAATTTCAATTTTGTTGGGGTGTCTATCAATCAATCAATAAATAATTTTTTTAAAAAACTTGCTTTTTAACAAGCGAGGCTAAAGCCAGTCCTATAGTTTTACTTTTTTACTTTCTAGTCTTCCAAGGACTGATTGCAAATATTTGCGCAGGATCCAGGTGAGGAAAAAGACTGACAGGAAAAGCCAGTCCCAAGAGAGTTCCTTATAACTGTTTTCGGGGTTCTTTTTTTTTTTTTTCTTCAGAAACTACCAAGGTGTCACCAAGGCCATGGGGTCGTGGCGGGGATGGGTGCCCCTCGCCCGCACAGCCTTTTCCACAGCGGGGACAGCAGGGCTTGCTTTCTGTGGCCCTCGGGGCCGTGCAGCCCTCAGCTCCCGCGGCCTGTGGAGACGAGCAGCCCGGGGTGTGCGCCGCGAGCTCGGCCGAGCCCCTGTGGAAGCCGCCCCGCCTGCCGGAGCCGGAACCCCGGGTCCGCGAGCGCGCGGCGGAGCCAAATGGCTGCTGTACCTCCTCGCCAACCTGCCGTCCGACTCCTCAGACTGGCGGAAGCGGAGAGGGCTGACGCAGCTGGGGGAACTCTTCCTCAGCAACACTTTCCGGTCCGCGACTCCGCCCCCACCGAAGGGGCTAGGCTCCAGGATTCAAGATGGAGTCTCTAAGTAGAGCTGGGCAGGAGATGAGTCTGGCGGCCCTAAAGCAACACGACCCCTACATCACCAGCATCGCAGACCTCACGGGCCAGGTCGCTCTGTACACCTTCTGCCCCAAGGCTAACCAGTGGGTGAGTGAGGCGTGACCGTGGAGGACGCCCGCCTGGCTGCCCCTCTTACAGGGGCTGCCTGGTGTGGGGGAACGGGGGCGAGGGGAGCGAAGCTAGAGGCCAGGTCGGGGAATGGCGAAGGGTCCAGGGGTCTGAGGAGTGCCCGGGATTAGAGGAGGGGGCCTGAGACGTCCCAGGGAACACCTCCTAAAATCGGACGAGGATCTTGGGGTCGAGTCTGTGGACGTGGGCGAGCTGCCTTCTTCAATGCACCGGGGGCTGAAAGAGCAGCGGGGTCAGAAAGCTTGTTTCCAGAGGAGAGGATTAATAGGTAAATGGATAAATAGATGAAATACGGATGACCTGCAAAAATAAACACTCCTCCTCCGTCCCCTTCCCACCCCTACCCCAGCAGTCACACGAGCCCCCTTGGCGGAGGTCATTTGTATTTAAAGCTTGAAATCTAATTCGCTTCATTTCTTGGAAGAGAGGGGATGTCTTCGGAGTTTGGGGAAAGATTGTGAGGCAGTTAGGACTGCTCTGTTCGCTGGATCCCCTGGAGACTTTCTATGATAGTATCAACTCTGAATACCCTCTTGCAACTTAATACTTTGTGACTTTTTGGGCACCAGAGGAGGAGCTGAAAAGTTACTTTCTGACTGTTCAGCAAGTCTGGTTAGTCCTGCTAGCGCTTTTTTCGTTGTTAAGTTACGGTTTCCTGGTTGTCGCTCCTTTCTGTTTCTCTCTTTCCTCTCTCGCTTTATCCCCTAGAAAGTGATTGGTAAAAGCTTGCCTGGAGTTGACATTTCTTTAAGAACGGACCCTTGATACGAAACTGAAAGATTGTCATCCTGTGCCTTTTACAATAAAGATGCATAGATTCTTTATACCAGTAATTTTGTGAAAATTGTTTGGCATTTACGAACAGTTAGTTCAAATGGTAAGAATTTCCATGATTCCAAAAAAGTTAATGGAAAATGCATGCTATGGAAAAAAAAACTTGAACTTCAGAATTTTTGCACCAGAATAAACTTACCTTTTCATTTTCCACAAACTTTTTTCCATTCCCTAGTACAGATTATAATAACCTGAATTGAAAAAGAAACTGCTATTTTTATTTATTGAATCATGGCACATAATGCATAATCAATATTTTCTCCTCTAGGATTGAGGGGACAAATTTTCTTTTACTGTGAGATAACTGGTCAATTTCTTACACCAAAAACTTTGTAAAGGCAACAAAAAGTTTCTGAGTTCTTAGGAAAGAAATACTTTCATGATTATATTTAAGGCGTTACTGGAGGAAATTGGTATTTTTGCAAGTATAAATTATCCCAAGCAATTTGATTTGATATGGCTGACAAAGTTTTAACATTTTCTTGATTGTGTTACAATATTTAGACCCAGACATCTTGTGAACAACACACTGCAACATTGTTCTTTTTGGAAACTTTAAGCATATTCTGTCAGAGCAAATGAAAGATAGGATTGAGTGGTACTGTTAATCAAAGCCTTTTCCCTTTAAAGTTGTTTTATATTATTTTACATTATTGGGAGATCTATAATAGTGATTTAAGGCATAGCGTGATTTCAGAGTCCCTGGATCTTTAACATAGTTCTAAAAAATACTAGACTAATTGTGTTGGTTGTAATTCTTCCCCACAAAATATATTACCAAAGAAAATGTCAGATTACTCTAGTGACAAGAAATTCTCCTCCCCCCTGCCCTTTTTTTCCTAACTTTTACTTTGGTAAACTTTAGAAGTGAAGAAATTACTGCCCACAGGATTTTGACTTGAAATTTTAAGAAATCTGCCCAAAGCATTCTCTCTAAAAAGTGAAGACCAGTTCTATACTTTTCTTTCAGTAATTATAAAAGAAAAATGCCTCAATAGAGACACATAGCTGGAGGGAACCCTGCGTATATCTGTGTGTCAGTAGCATGGAAAGCAAATATGACCAGGTGGTGTCTGAAGTTTGTGGTGAGTGGGAGACTTAACGTCACCTATTCAGAAGTGGGTCATTTTACAGTAAATGAAACAAGTTGCTCTTAAATCTGAAGCATTTCTTCTCCACAGGGACTCTTTGGGATTGGATTATGGGGAGAATGCTAATTGATTTATTGTCTGTTACAGGAGAAGACTGATATAGAAGGGACCTTATTTGTGTATCGAAGGTAAGACCTTTTTAAAAATACATGTTTTAAGTATATGGTGATCAATGTCCTAGGAAGGGGTGCCATTCTCTCTGTTCCTACGGCCTTAGCTGTGAGGTCCTAACCAAGTTCTTTCCCTTCTTGGAGACTGTGAATCAAAATAAAGAGAATCTGGTAAAACCTCTTCAAACACAAAACATTTTTCTACAAATGAGTGAGTCTAAAATAGATGCTCCCCTCCTGCCCTCATATTAAAGAGAAAGGAATATAAACTGTGATGCACAAAGTGCATACGACACTGAGGTGAGAGTGAGAGGCCGGGCCACCACCCCACTAAGGGACAACGTTAGTGACTGGGTCCACTCCAGCCCTGCCACAAGTTCTGGATTATGTATAGCATCTTCAGTCAGATGTATTTTTAGCTTGTCTCAGAGTGCTTTAGAAAGCCTGGATGATTATTCATAATTGTACATTTTTTATTTTCAACTTCTTAGAATTAATTATCTTAAAATATGATTGGTTTGCAAGCTGTAACTTTGCTTTGTTGGGCAACTGAGAGTGTGTAATGGGGGGGAGAGCTGGTTGTCCTGGTCCCTGTGTTGGCTCTGGCAGGGCGCTGCCTTCTCTGGCTTTCCAAAGCTGGAGCAATCAGAGGGCACCGTGACTGACCTTTGGCTCTTCCTTCCTTGTATTTATTTATATGGTAGATGAGTATATGTTTTAAGAATGCTTTTCTCCATCAATAATAATTTAAAATAATTTGCCTAATACTCTTCTAAGCACATTCATCTTTTTCTTTTAAATGTACTTTGATAGCACTCTATTTCCTGGGCTTGTTTTTATTCCAAAAGGATGGGTCTTTCTCCTAAGCCCCCTTCACATTGTGTTAGCAGTATCAGTCTTGAGAAACCCTAACTAACTGGAGCAGGGGGTCTCTGTGGTTTTGGAGAGTGGGGGTTCTTTACTGGCTTACTGTGAGGGGCGTTTCAGATCCACTGATTGGGAAGGTGTGGAGCTAGTGGTGTGGCTTGACTCCATCCAGTGTGAGGAGACTTGCATAGCACTAGTTCTGACAGAGGAGAACCAGGAAATGGGAAAATCCAAGAACATTTTGTGAACCTCAGACAGGTATACAAGAATGTCAGAATATCTTTTTGCAAGGAGATTCTGTAATAAAAAAGCTTGGATTTGGATTCTGAAACCCCAGAGCTGAGGACCAGGTCCCTTATTTGTGTGCTTTGGAGCTCAGGACTTCAGCATTAAAATCTCATTAACTAATTTGTGGAGCAGGGTCCTGTTGTGTTATCAGCCTCTGTACATCACAGGGAAACAGCCTGGAAACGGGAGGTGTTAGATATGGCTAAGGAATGACTAAAGGACAATGTATTGGATTCCCCTGATAGGGTAACCATGGATGCTTCTTGCCTAATATTCAAAACATTTTCCATCTAACTCAGAACTATGTGATGACCTGTGTAGTTGCAGGAAAATTATTAGGAAGGTAATCAATCTGTACCATAATTAACATAAATGCGTGATACTTCATTTAGCAATTATTTATCAAATACATCTGTGAGAAATAAGATAAACTTCATTTGCATAAAGCTTGCAGTTCTAGTAGAGAGGAAGACAACAAGAAGTAGTGGTGATAGAGCTTGGGGTATTGAGTTGGAGCAGTTAAAAGCATAGTGCAGGTGGGCCTCACTGATGAGGCATCTGAGCAGAAGCTTGCTGGGTGTGATAGCGCTGTGTTCCCTGGTTCCCCGGGGCAGTGGTCTGAGCCCAGGTTCTGCAGTAACAGCACACCTGCTGAGAGAGTGGCAGGGTTGGGAACGGGGCATAGAAAGTCAGGGGTGTGCAGAGCATGTCACTTAGGGCCGGGCTGGCCTGAGTGAGGTCCCAACACTTGAATTCTGGGCAGAAGGGTTTGAGCCTGCATAAATCTTTGCTTACAGTGTGAAGCACTGATAATACTGAGTAATGTATTGGAATTCCTTCTTTTTTTGAAATGAGAAGAAAGTCATAGGTAACGTTTCTGCAAATTAGATAGTGACTACAGATCTTTTTTTCTTCTGTTAAATCTAAGGTCAGCTTCGCCTTACCATGGTTTCACCATTGTGAATCGACTGAATATGCATAATCTAGTTGAACCAGTGAACAAAGATCTGGAATTTCAGCTCCATGAACCATTTCTTTTGTATAGAAATGCAAGCTGTGAGTATATGTGTTTTATTAAAGTATTAACATATTTACGTTTGCAGTTAAGTGAGCTTAATTTCTATCGGCACTTTAGTTTTGGAGTTACAAATCACAATACAAAATGTGGTCTGTTTTGTTTTAGGGTTATAAGTGAGTCTGTTGAACAAAATCAAACCATTTAAACTGTAAAACTGAACACAGTTTTGTGGATAAGTTAACTTTGTTAACTATTCTGTTTGATTGCTTTATGTTTCTGATGTGTGCCTTTGTTTTTTGTTGTGACGCTGAACTGTTAACTGCCAATGCCCATGAGCAACAGGATTTATTTTGGAAGCAACAGAGGGACAGAGCATTCTTCCCACGAAGTAATGTGTTTTTCTGTCTGCTTCTGCAGTTGAGTGCCCTCTGGTTTCTAGTGCTGTGCCAAGAACTGTTCTGTAATGTTAATGGTACAATAACCTACGTGGGGTAGGCAAGGAACCAAGTCAGCTGACACTCCGAGACAGTTGAGGGAATTGAGGTTGTAACTCTGTCTGCCTCCAGGATCCTCTTGGGTGTCCTGCAGATCTGATAATGGTTAAATACAGTCAGCAAAGCTAGAGTGACCCCTTCAAGAAAGAACAGTACTGAAAAGCATACTCGTTCTAGTATTTCGTTATCAGTATTGAAGATAATGTGTTTTTGAAGACAGTCTGCTTGGCATTGACTAAGTGCTTGAGCCCCTGCCCCACGCAGAAGACCAGAAAGAAGTTCCTGGCCTCACCCCAGATCAGCTATCAGGGATGTGAACCAGTTGATGAAAGCTCTCTCTGTTTCTTCTCTGTTACTCTTTCAAATAAATAAATAAAATCTGGGAGAAAAATAATAGAAAATATTCCCTGGGTAAGAAATAGCAGAGCCTGTTTTAGAGTTGGAAACCCCAAATTATTTCCCTAGCTTATTTTTAAGTATCTAAGTGAAATTGGATCTCTCAGCTTTTCAGTAAAGTGTTTGTCTGTAGAGTTGTCTCCCAGACTTTAAACTGTTTGAATATACTGGACCTGTAAATTGAAATGGATTTATTTAAATGAATGGCAACAGAGTTATTTGGATACCTGCTTTCTTGTCCTGAATATGCATTGAAGGGGAAATTCTACAAAAGAACATAGATCCAAAAATTTTTGTTGTTTAAGTGAAAGTGACTTAACTCTGTTTTTTCTTACCTAAAAAAATTTTACCTAATTATTATTAGCAAAGGTTTGGTTATTCAAATAATAGGGAAATCTATCTTAGATCCATGGGTCTAATTATCATTTAAGGGTCCTATAAAAATAAAAGCCTAACAAAACATAGCCACAATTAATCAGAATCTAATTCATCAAAATTTCAGTTATTTAGAAATACTCCCATGTGTGGAAAAAATGAGGACAAATTATAAGAAAACAAACTAGTATTTTATTATATTAAATATTAAATCACAATAATTAGTATGTGTTATATGTGAAAATCAAGCAGATATCTCATGTAATCTTGGGTCAGTAGTAAAATGTTGATATTTTGTATGACTACTCTCACTATCATATCAAAGACTAAATTGTAAAATAACCTCAAATCATTAGAAATCTTCATTACATTAATTAGAACATTGTTGGAAAAAAGGAGAGCTCATGCTTTTCATTTTAGATCTTTAGCAAGGGGTTTCTTTGTTCAACAGAAAACTCACATAACCAGGCCATTCCACTGGGGAAAGTATTCAAAGAAATACCTGCTTCAGGGAGAAGTGACAAGACAGTGTGAAGTGAGTTAGTGTGTGTTAAGGCCTCTGTGTTCTCTCTGCCTAGTCTTAAAAATGGAAATAGTCTTGTCAGGTCAGCAAGCTGTTGAGTTGTTTAGGGACTTGTTCTTTAAATAAAGAGTTAGTGAATATCTGATTATGTGTATAAGTAATTATACCTGATTCCATAGCTGTTCTTCTGTCATTCCCTTGTGGGACATACACCGAGACACCTGACCTACTTAAAACTCAACTTATACCTTCATATCCTGCTTCTTTCATTCAAATAAATTTTTGGAATAAACGTAATATTGAACTTAACTTTTTCCAGTTTTAAACTGGTTGCTTTTTATTTGTTTTCAGTTTGTCTTTACTTATACACAGTCCCCATACACCCACCCCACTCTTTAGTGAACAGTAAGGGTATAAAAAAATGCTTATGTTAACCCAGGGCTTAGGTTTGGTTCTTGTCTTTAATCTTTTGGAAGCAGTGTGTCTTCCTTCTGTGTAAGGGTTTTCTGGCAGCCTTCAGACCCCACTGTGCAACTGTGAGGAGTGGGAATATTGTGCATTCTAGAGTTACTGAGCAGCGGTGGTGTTCTCAGCACTTTATTTCTAAATCCAAACTTATAGTTTGAGGAAACAAGAAACACGGGTTTAGGGACTTGCTCAAGAGTAACCAAGGTAACAAATAATAGGTGCAGAATACAAACCTAGGTCTGTCAGGCTTCAGAGCCAATAATGTTCTACTCTACCACAGCAATAAAATACCTATTTCATTAATCTGCTATCTAGTAGAATTGCTGTGATTGGAAAGTTCTGTGCCAGCACTGTCCACATGTGCCACCAACCACATGTGACTGTTGCATGCCTGCAATGTGGCTAGTGCAAAGCAGGAACTTCTGTTTTCTTTGACCCATTGTTTTTATGTAGTCCTATGTATTCGTGGCTACCATTAAACAGGTGCACAAGTGTGAGCTTGTGTTCTAACCACCCTTTGTTATACCTGAATGGAACAGTAATTTGAGTTATATTTTTATGCTTTCTGTTTAGTCATTTCTTTTTTGAAATTTCTGTTTCTAGATAGGAAAGCTACAGAATATATCCCTGGGGGTGGCTTTGCCATGGTAACACTCTTTTTGGCATGGGACTTCTATTCAGGAATTCTATTCTAGTTGTTGCCATTTTATTGGCTGTAACCTTGGATAAATCACTTAAGCCACTGATCTGACTAACCTTAGGCATGAACCAGGGTTTCTCTCTTTACAGATAACTGTTTTCAAGCATTATAGGGAATATTGCTACATAGCGTAAGTTAGATTAAGTTAAACATATATGTATGTGTATTTGTAATGATAACTCCTTCAAAGGACAAATTTTTTAAAAAAAGATTCTTAATAAAAGCAATTCAGTAGCTTATGCCTTAAGAAGCATTAGTGACGGCTCCCATCTTATCTATGATTAAATTTTTAAAAGATGATTATGTTGCTTTATAAAGTCACACTGGCACTAATTTCCTGGCTTTCTGTTCTTAATTGTAAATGGAACCTGTTTTACTAACTAGATTATGAAACTTTCCTTGGAAACTATGAATTCCTAGTTCTATGAAATAGACCCAGCAAAGAAAATTATTCAACCTCTGTCTAGCAATATCTGGACATAAACTCTTCTTTCTATAAGCAGTTAGAAATGTTTTATAAAATAGTAAATATTAAATACAAAGCCAAAAACAGAGTGGGGGGACATTTCCATGGGGCAGCACCCAAATGAGATCTGAAAGCTAAATGGGAAACATGTGAAATGACATTGGCTGTCAGCTGTTACCAGGTTCTTTAGGTGGGAACACTCTTACATACAAGAATTTGTTATAATGCACGGGAGGACCAGGAGACAACATTCCACACAAGGAGAGTTAGAGCAGAGATACACATACCAGCACACAGTTAGGTCCCCTGATGATCTGCATGTCGGGTAGTTAGAAAAGATAATTGCCACCAACCTACCAAGATAACAAGCAAGCATATCAATTTCAATCTGAGAAGGAAAATATTGTCCCTGAACACTGAAACCATGGACCTTCCCTCCTACACGTTTGGGATGTAAGTTATATCATCTATATGGTATAATTTCTTACCCAGCCTGAGAAATTAATATGAAATTACTCATCAACTGGTGAATAATAAGATACTTGGCAGAAGCAAATGCAAAATTTTTATGGTGAGACACATTATTAATTCGCATTGCCCAATAGTATCACATATAAGCCTCATGGTCCAAAATGACAAAATATACAAGGAAGTAATTCACAGTAAATGAAAAATAAGCCATAACATATAACAGGATTATTTGTAAAATTGTAATTACTGAAATAAACTGTCTTCCTGGGTTCAACAGTTAATAGTAGCTAACACAAAAACTGATAATCTAGAAGTGTGTGAAGACCATCCCAGCCACTCCATCTCTCAGTTCACGGTTGCTGTTCTGGGAAAGCAACAAAAGATGGCCCTGCACCCACATGGGAGACCCAGAAGAAACTCCTGGCTCCTAGTTTCAGACTTACTCAACTCTAGCCATTGCAGCCATTTGTGGAGTGAATAAGCAGATAAATATCAATCTTTCTGTTTCTCTCCCTTTAAGATAAACAACCTAAAGCATATGTGTGTGTGTATACATGCATGTATGTGTATTTTAAGAGAAGCAATATTGAGATTCTGACAGCTTCCCAGAATTCATAAGACAAATCTCAGAACTAGACAGAATAGGCCCCAAGCATAAAAAGTTCAAGTAATTGTATATGCAGACACATGACCGTGAAACTTCAAGGCAGAGAGGCAGAAGCAGCCAAAAGGTGCTGGAAACTGAGTGTTCACAAACGAGCCCCAATAGGACTGACTGCATCCATCCCTCGGTTGCAGCTGCCTAGTATGGAAGACAGGCATAACATGTGCTGAGGAGAATGCAGTTAACCAACAGTTTATTAATTGGAGGACACAGTTTTCAAGTTTCAACAGAAATGAGATGTCTCCAGCAGATGGTTGCTATAGGCTCTTCCAGGGCAGCACTGTCCAGTGCAGTAGCCAATAGCTATGTATGGCTCTTGAGCACTTGAAGTGATCATAGTACAGCTGAGCTTCCATTGTATTTCATTCTGATTAGGCTAGATTGTTTGGTTTCAATTAATTTAAATTTAATAGCAATTGTAAAGAATATAGTTCAGGAAGAAGACAATTGAATATAGGAGGAATAAGTGCACCCTTAAGAA